ATTAAAAAAAAAAAAAAAAATGTGAAGAAAAATCATAATATCGACAATTATAATTCACAATGAACTAAAAAACATATGATGTTAATTGACGTTTACTTACATAAATAAGTGATATATAAGTCTGTGATATGTAGTAGTTCATCTCATAAAAAACACACACAAAAACACTGATCATTCGTTTTAATGTTTTTAAAAATATTCAATTCAAAAACTATCTAGAAAAAAATATAAAAATACATCGATTGAAATTCATTTATCGAATTTTCGAGATTTAACGAATTTAATTTTATATTAGAAATGCTTGTAAACAGCCCCTATGATCAAACCACGTTTACATCAAGTCGATTAAATTTCAATCGAACAAAGTAAAATTTCGATCGTTTACGAGTCAAAGTTGTTTCGAACGAGAAAAGTTATGCAAATCACCAGTTTTCATTAATGGATTTATACCAACAATCTATCACTTCCATTTCATTAACATCTAATAAAAATATCATCATCGCACGACTTATAAATAAATACGTATTATTTCGTGAATCAAACGAACGAACGTACAACTATTAACATAACCTTATAACAATGCGCGATTGATCGATCGTTTCACTAGAAGAATGAAAGAAAAGAAAGGAACGTATATCGGATGAGAGAGCGGGAAAGAGAATCGTAAATGCTACCGCGAGCGAAGATACGAAGAACAGATGGCGTTCGTGTATCGTCACGGTTATAATAATAATGTAAATTCGATCGTAGCTCCGTGCCAAAGATGGGAGACTGGAATGTAAATAGCGCTGAAAGGACGTGTTTGTCGTAGTTAACCAAAGAGCGTGGTTTCGCCGATTAGAAGCGGATGCGAGTAAGGTAATCTTCATGTGTTAAGAAACAAGAGGCGTGACGCGATAAATTCAGCTTTCTAGGCGGCCTGCACGGGACGAAGCGAGACTTTCGTCGGCTTTCGATTTTGCAATGCATTTCGTGTGCACCTAGATGAGAACAGAGAATGAGAACGAAAAAAGAATCGAAAGATTCTTCTTTGAGAGAGGAAAAAGAGAGAAAGAGAGAGAAAGAGAAAAAAGAAGAAAAAGGAATAAATAGAAACGGGAAAGTCCCGTATAATTATACGATTATCATGATTATTTTTTAATCGTAATCTTATTTAATAACGCCTAACGAAATCTAGTCTTATTTATACTCTTTGTTAAATCAAAATCCGTGTTTTTTTTTCTTTTTTATTATTATTATTATACGCACAGCGATTTATTTATGTATGTATATAATTCTACACAATTTGTGTCGGCGCGTGGCGTACATCGGAATGCAATGAATGGAGAGAAATGTGTGGACTGTTGGCGAGAATAAAATTGAAATTGCGTGGCGATAGCTAGATGACGTTCGATGAATTTAAGGAATGTTGGAATTGGGAAACGATCCGTACCTGAGGCTTGTGGCGCTCTCCTTCGATTTTTCACTTTCGAATCGTCCTTTATTCGAGAGTTTTGTAAATGGTTCAGGTTTTAGAGACGCGCACGCGCCGACGAGTCTCCATTGTTGGAGGAGAAATTGCGCTCAAAATGGCGACGATTAACGGTGGAACGAGGAAATGTGCAACAGGAACCGTCCTATAATCTGTAATCGTTATTATCCTGTGCAGCGACACGTTAAACCATTTTGTACGTATTGCCAATTGTAAAGAGATCAATTCTTATAGTCTGTAATAATAAAAAGTAATTGTTACTTATAACGTTATTCTTCTTGTTGATTTTTTGATAGATATATCAAATCGATGTACGATTACGATTTTTTGCTGCAATTCATTCGACTAATAAATTACTCTTGAAGAATAAGATTCACACGCAACTCGAGCTACGATCTGAAAAAAAATAATGGAACATCGAAGAACAACTTTTCATTTGTCTTCCGATACGTGACAACGAGAAAGAAATTAACGTTGTAGGTTATATACTTGTGCAATGACTGTCGAAAAATCTTATTTCTTCCAAACATCACGTTGACGTATGAAAAACTCGTGCAACAAAGTACCAATTACGGATCCACTTGTATCGCAAAACGAGGTTTTAACACGTTTTACAATGATTATAACACGCGTGCATGACAATTGTCAAAAGTAATCCCCGAAAGAAATTTAATTAAACCTTTCCCGATATGTTTCATTGATGCACCGGCCAAGGATCCATGTGCATCACACACGATACACCACCACGCGGCTTGGAAGGCCAGGTAAGTACGCATTCGTGTGCCTACACGCACAAAGGGAATAAGGATGCGTGTGCACGCACTGGCTGGTCTCAGCTCGTCGATGCGTACAGCCAGCCATTCATGCATACGCCCATTCATACGTCTCTCTGGCTCACCTTGAACACTTTTTGTCGTCGGTTGATGTGGACGTGGCTGCGCGCTTCGCCACTCAAACCGTGCACCTTACTATGTATTCTCCTCTTTCAGAGAGGGTGCTGTTTCGAAGTTGAGAAATTATGGATGAAGGATTCGAGAGAAATTTGACGTAAAAAGAAAGAGAGATGGAGAAGATGAGGGAAATCAACGAAGAATGGTAATTTTGAAGTTTTTCTTAATTATTGTCAAATATTTTTTTAAGTGTAACATTATGTTACCACTTAATTACTTAGAATTTTTTACATCTTTACAATCAATTTTTAATATTTTATATGTTATGCCCGTTATTGTACTTTGAATCAAGTATTCAAACTCTTTGAATATCTTTCGTTCAATGTATTAGAAATTATCAATTAACTATTTTTTTCGTACTTTTTTTTTCAGAACAAATGCTATTATATCCTCGATTTTTAAAATCTTGAACTCTTTTTACGATATGATTTAATTCTCATCCTCCTCGCGCGAATTCCACCACGTTTAGTTCAGAAAGGAAGAAGAGAGATAAGAAAATTTGACGCGTTGAATTGTTGAAAGAGGGAAGGCGTCGTCGTCGGCGTCGTCGTCGAGGTTGGCGCGCACAATGACTGCAGGTTTCCTAATACGGCTTCGTCGCCGAGCTGGATGAAAAAAAGAGGAATTTTGGCCACCATCGGGGGCCTGGGAAGGAACGTCCCGCGTTAGATCCTGCCGGCACAGAAATTTAATAATCGACCGCTGCCCGCTTCGAAATCCTTCTCTTCCTCTTGCTACGTATTTCATTATATATCATTATTCCGAGAGTTAATGCCTCTGTAACTTTGATCACTTGTAAAAATATAATTAAATTGCAGATTTTTCTATATCAAAGATTGTTTGAAGAAGCTGGATTATTAGAAAATGTTACAAAAGAATTGATTATATATCATATTAATTATATTAATTATATAAAATTTATAAAGTTAATCCTTTTATAATTTTGATTATTTTTTTTAATTTTTTAAAGAAATAGATAATTGGATTGCAAATCATAATTTATCATAATGAAAATTGATGTAATTTTTATTGCCTGTAAGAATAATTAAAACAGATTGTAACTTTTCATTTATAGTCTTAAATATCAGAAACTAGTATTGAAGATTTATGATTTCTTGCAAGAAAAAATGAAAAAACTTGCAACTAATGTGATCAAGACACGCTGTAATCCAAGTTTCACACTTCTTTTACCATCAATACAATACAAATTTTATGCAAATTTGTAATTCAGTTTAATTCATTCATTCGTTCTTAACAAAGACAAGCTTCTTCAAATAATCTTAAAACGTTTTCAAAGTTTTGTAAATAAGATAACGATGCCCAGAAACGTCGAACCACCAAATAAACCACCATCCTTCCATCCTTCTCCTTCTTTCACCCCCTTCAATCACCTTCACCTTCCCCAAAACCGGAACCGGACAAATTACACTCGTCCTCGATCCTTTCAACATTCGAAGACAAAGAGACGAGTCCCTCCTCCTTCTCTTTGTGTTTCCACGTGTTCTCCTCGCCAACTCCCTTATACGGTAGAAAGATAAGGAGTTCGCGCGCCCAGTAAATCGGCGATTTAAGGTGCGTCCGAGGCGCGGAGGAGATAGCGAGAATCGCGTGGAGCGTGAAGCGTGAACCGAGCGAGCAGGATCGGATAGAGCGTGGCCGGTTCGAAGGAAGACAGGTATTCGCAGTCCACGGACAGGTTCGTTCGCGAAAAACTTCAATTTGTCTCGCACGCTCCCCCGTCCGCGCAGGGATATCTCTTCGATGGATAATACGCGCGCGCCAGGAAGGGAAATCGAGTAGGATAATGTTGGATATTTTTTGGAATATGCTATTTCTTTTTGGAGGGAAATTGAAATTTGGAAAGGAACAAGGATTTTAATGAAGTTGATAAGGAATTGTGAATTTTTTTTTAAGTGTTTTTAGATTTAATGTAGTTTAATTTGAAAAATGCATGCAAAAGAAATTTGTAAAAAACAAGTCGGAATTGTAAATGTTTCGAGATTTTTTTTTTAGTCTTTAAAAGTTTTGAGATTCATGAAAGAGGATTGGAATTGGGAATGTTTTAGAAAATTTTTTTCAAATTTCAAAAGTTTTGAAATTGAGTTCTTGAAATTCTAGAATTATTGATAAATAAAATCTAAGAAGAAACTTTGGATCATTTTAATATTTAGGAGAAAAGAATTATTGTATACTATTAATATATACAAAAATTAGATGCAAGTGTTAGCTGTGATAAAAAAAATAACAGACAACGATAGAAAAACAAAAATAATTATCGTACAATTCAAAGAATCGAAAGAAGAATAATCGAGTCATCGTTCGATTCAACATCACGACTCAATTCCAAATAATTTTCCTGACCGCTGTTCAAATTTCGCGCCATAAATCTTCCTTATCGCTCCCGCTCTGCCCCTCCTCCCCCAACCAACGATAATTAAACAGTACTGGTCAATATCCCAAAAGACACTCTCCTTGCCATTTCGCGATACAGGA